CCTGCCGCTGCGGCTGGTTCACGTCTGCATCACCTCCGCGGCACCGCACCCTCAACACCGAACACACTCGCACCAACACCACGAACACGAGGAACGACTCGACGCACATCGCTCTCCGATAGGCGGTCTTGACGGCTGTCGCCCTGTCGGCAAGTGGCTATACATACGCACACACCGGCAGGCGACGGTAGCGGCGGAGGCGGCGCCTCTGGAGAATGCTGCGGCCGTCGCGACTGGCAAAGTCGGACAGCTCACAAGCTCCTTATCCTTGCGAAGTAGCGTGGCACCCCAGGAGGTCTCGATCTTGTCTGTTGTCGCAGTGCGCAGCGTAAAGCCGCTGGCTCCCAGAAAGGACAAAGGAGGCAACAGACTACAGTTTCTGCGACATAGCGACTGGAGCGACAGCAGGCAAAGAGATCCCTCTTGCCTTAGTAACAGCAGGCCGCCGATGACTGAGACTGTTCGCATTGGAAGCCGTTGCGTCGCGAACGCCGACCTGCGTCCGCAGCTGAGCTCCCCGCAGAGAAAGACGGAGCCACAAGTACCCTTGCGACAGGAGAACAGGCGATCGGTCCGGATGCGTCGGGATAAGGAACACCATGCTCAAGGCAGCCTGCATGTTTGCTCAAGCTGGTCTCAACATGGTATGAAGTTCTGTGCCCGCCTCACGCAGCGCCGTTATCTTGAATACACACTGACAGGTAGCTAGGGGCTTCCTCCGCTGACGACCGCATTATAACGTTGTCTCCTTCGCAGGCATACAACTTTGGACGCGCCGCCCTTCGCATACGAACGAACGTCGATCGCTTGCCTCAGCCGCCTCTCACGTACAAGGAGGATTCCAGACACGTCTCTGGCGTACGGATATGCAAGGGTACAACAAAACATGACAGACTCGGCAGCAGTCAAGAGCGTCGTGCGGAACCCACGTTGCGAATGGGAAAGCTTTTGGTGCGATTTGGCGGGTGGACGCATAGCAGATCATCCTCCGTAAGGTTCAGCTGGCCGGTCTTCAGTGGCAATGGCGGATGGACACGATAGGCAGCCTTGGAAGGAAGCACTGAAGACGCCTCATCTCATTGCCGTGTCAGACGGGGGCAAGACAATAAGACGGCGACCAGACTGGGTACGAGACACACCTGGCCAAGCTTGAATGCGGTGCCGTAATGGCGGCCATGGGATTAGTCCTGCTCTAGGCTCCTTGCAGCAACGCAACCAGCTGCGAAGACGGGGCTAAGGCGGCACAGTGTCGGCGACTGGTCAAATGTGTCGCAGTCTTCATCCGGGATGGAATTTTCTCGAAACGCTCCTCGCGCTCTGCGACCAAACCGCTACCAACTCCCTGCTCTTCTCGAACCGCAGTCCGGGTCTTTTATGTCGGAGAAAGGAACAGCGGTTGCTTGCCTGATAGCCTGCGAGACGCGAGATGAAATGACGATGAATGGACCATCTGGCAAGAGATCTGACAAGCAAGCCTGAGTCGCCGCAAAGAGCCTGAGGCATACCGAAGACTAGACAGGAACAGAAAAAAGAGATAGGAAGATGTGACCAATGACGCTGGATGTTGAAGAAGATGAGGATCCTTGAGAAAGAGATGGAAAGAGGTTTGACGCGCATGTGGCAATGTCGGAAGCTACCATGGCGGGGCCGGCCGTCTTCATCCGGCGCGGCCAGCGCTGCTGACGAACACGAAAAGGAGCTGAGCAGCAATACTTGCAGCCCCCAGCTCGATGCGATGATCAGATGCCGTGGCATCGTCGGGCAGTATGCAGAGATGTCTTTGTTATCTCAAGACAGAGTATGACGTCGCTGACGTGCGACTTCTCAAAGCCTCCTCAGGTACAGGCTACCGCGCCATGGGCATCTTGGGTGATCTGGCACCGGTCATCGCTATCGTCGGTTAGGGCACCATCCTATGGTACCTGGCACGTATTGTTCGACTAGAAGTCAACGAGCCCTTAGCACGACCAACTCATCACAAGAGTAGTTCGGCATATTCGCTGTCGTATCATCACTCGAGACTTGCAGAAATCTCGTTCACAGCCAGGCCGCGTTACCATGTCTGCTACCTCGTTGGCGACGGCGACACGCTCTACACTCTGTGCACTGAACGCAATACTCACGAGCTCCTAATGCCTCTGCGGCAGAATCGCCGTACATGGCGATGCGAGTGGCCTCCAAGATGCCAACGGGGATATTAGGGCGACACCATCAAACCTGGGGCAGCTACGCCTGACTCGCTGTCGATCATTACTCGCAAGGCTGCGTGAACCCAATCTCAAAGCCGGTACGCGTCTGTACTACGCCTTCCCAGAGAGCAGGTTGGACCTCGATTGACTTGGATCATAGTCGTCGACTGAGTCTCCGGAAGCGCCGATTATTAGTCCGAGCAGCTAAAGTCCACGTTCGCCTGGGGTACGGCTCGTACTTCGTTGAGGTTTCTAGTCGTGGAATGCGTCCTTGTCCGCATTTCTACAACGCGATAGTGACAATGTCTCTCAGACTCCTGGGCTGAAGAGGAGTGAAATCGGGTGTGGAGAGCGAGCCATGATGGATCGAGGATACCGTTGTCGTGGAGCTCAGTTCAAACACATCGACCTACTACGGGCAGAACCCTCTCCTCCCTTGAACTTCTCGATGTCACTCACACCACTCAACACTTCCAAAGAGATGCATAGGCCCGTATCTCCTAGACTGAAGCGCGCAGAAGCTTGACTTTTGCATTGTGCGACGATGCTTGACAGCTCTAGAACGGCTACGTGTCGCCTGCAGTGGAAGTGGAGGGTGTGGGCAACGAAGAGACGGACGAGGTAGGAGAGGCACGAAATCGAACGATCTATCACCTATCTCCCGGCTTTCAATTCAACCGCAAGCGGTGGATATCGAAGAGGCACAGAGAAGGAGACGTCGGCCTCGAAGCCGTGAGCCTGTAGCAAAATGATGGTGTCTGAGGATTGCATGTCAGCAATGACGTTGCATAGGACACCGTCGTCTGTTCCAAACAGATTTCGGAGCAAGACATGCCGCTGGTCGGACTGCCGAACACATGGCTTGCGGGAGTTTGAACCTGCCTCCGTACTCCCTTGTCAAGCATCTTCTCGGAGATGGACCGGAGAGCAGTACGCACCACCATGTGCGTCGGCCAGCTGCCGCCGTCTGTCAACTCAACCACACAGGCCGGGACGCACGCCACTAACCTCTTTCCATCCTGGTTCATATATGCGTATGTACTCCGTGTCCATATTGTATGAGGAGAAGCTGACGCAACTTAGGTAGCCGAACTGGGTGGGAGGCGAAGAGAGATTGTAAGATATAAGATGGAGGTTGAAGCGGTGGCGATACGAGATGGGGAGGAAGGTAAGAGACCATTGAGAGACATGATTGACTCTGTGCTGACCCGGAGGTAGGTGGACGTTGCGATATCGAGGCGGAGACAAGGTGACGGGTGTGCGAGCCCGGCGGCTCACAATGCTTCGTGGGAAGCCCGGCTGCGTGGTGGATGTAGCGAGCGGCAATCGATTGTTTGCCGAATTCTCTCAGTCCGATGCACTGTGCCCAAAGTTTCCAGCGCCCGGTATGCGTTCTAACTTCATACAGGTATGCTAATCGTCGTGTAGGAGGCCGCGAGTGAGGCGGGGTAGGAGCCGCAGGATGCTCGCCGGCGGAGGATCAAGGAGCCGCGCCATCGTCGCCTGACAACGCACGTCGACAGCGCAAGGCCATCCGAGGGAAGCTCGACGAGCTCGAGGGCCTCTTCGGTATCTTGTTGGTCTCTCTCGCGATCGTGGACGGGGCGGTCCATGGCGTGGATTCGGCGGCTTCGGTCAAGCTCTCGGTCGTGTCCTATGCTACGGCGGCACGTTAGGAGCGAGCGGAGCTGCTCTGCCGTAAGAGGAGGAATGTGTCATCACCAGAAGCCAGTCCGAGACTATAGCCTCGATGTGTTGGGGTGATTGGGTTGGGGTAGTCTGTGGGCTTGAGGAAGGGGCCGAGAATTGAAGCAACCAACTTCATTCGGTCCTTGCGCTGGAGGTGCCTTCCCCGAGCAGCCCAGCAACACCACCACCGCCCTCACAGAGCTGCATGAGGCACCCCCAAAGCTGCGTCTTACCCATACGACCCTCCTCAGCTGTATTGGATCCACGTCATCAGCGCAGAGACGGCCTGTTTGCCAGATGCAGATTGGGAAACCTCCGCAGGGCTAAAGAAAGCCCGGGGCCGACGACATCCCTAGCAGCGGTGACGGGACTTCACGAGCGCCTACGACAGGCATGCATACTCAACAGGATCTCGCCAGACACGTCTTACATCTCCCAATACAGAGTGGCGCCTTCTCCGTCTATGCGCATCCCCGTAGCACAGAGGCTAGGAGCTGCTGCTACAGCTGACGGCAACCTTGGATCTCGCGACCGGAGCGGAACGAATCACAACAATAGCCGCTGCGCCTCCGGATCTTTGTGGTACTCGAAGTTCCTCGACAAGTCGACATCGGCCGCATCTTGCAAGCGGATCGAGTACTCGCGGCGAAGAACGGAGGTGCCCGTGAAAGATGATCGTCGAGGCAACGATGGCTTCTCACCGAAACCTCGCATTACCCGTCCCGTCACAATATATTCATATCGATTACTCAACGCTCATGCTCACAACTCCGCCCGCTCATAGCGCCCCTGATGTATGTGCGAGTAATCTGAGAAACAGCATACCGGGGTAGAGACAGGCCTCACAGAATAGCTGCGAAGTCAGGCGGATGCAAATACATGACACAAAGTCTGGACGGCGACGACGCTGATCACAGACTTGGACTCGATACTGGAAAGCTTCAAGAGCTCTTATCCGCTACGTACGTATGAAACCCGATACCTGCGGAACCGTTCGCGATTATAAAGATGCCAGCTTGATCATTCTACTACCTACTTGGACATGGCTGACATGAAGGGTGTCTGTGGTATCAACACTAAAGTTTCTCAGAGTTAGCCGGAGCCAGTCGATTCTTTCCTTGTCTACTTTGAAGTCGCATCGAATCGCTGCACTTCCATTGTGTATTCAGGTGTCTTTACCAGTCTCTCCACGTCTTGCTCAGTAGTCCCTGCGGTGTCGAGTACCTTGCTCAGTTTCTGAAGTGCCACATCATCTCTCAAGCGCTGCTTCAAACCTTTGGTTTTCTCGCGACAGAACTCCCACAGCCCTTGTAATAGCTCTTCGTCCCATGAATACTGCAGGCGATTACATTCCTTGTACACCTCGTCTGCAGTCGTCACATCGTGGGCCTGAAAGGTGGATAATTTCCAACACTCCGGAACGGCTTCTTGGTCCATTGTCATGCTCGAGACCAATTGGAAGACATTCTTTGCTTCCTTGGGCTTGCTGTAGGACAAAATCCCGCTGAAGTCGACTAGTGTTACACAAGGCCATGCATCGTTGCCGTTGTTGCTAAGCATGACATTACCACCCGCACCAAGATCGGTGTGGGTTAGCTTGTTCGCTCGCAGATGCTCTTGGACGCGGATAAGCTCTGAAAGAACGTGGAGTATAACAGTAGGTGACATTCCGTCCTGAAAGTCATCCCTCCTTAGTAGTTGTTCGATACTGCAACCTGGTATGTATGCCATACAGTGCCATTCAGGATGTTCGATGGGCTGGTAGTCATACACTGCGGCTATAAGGTGGTCTTCTTTGCTCTGCATACCTTTCAGCTGTATGAGCAGTTCTTTGGAGACGGAAGTAGTCTTGTCGTCAATCAAAAGCTTCAGGGCTATACACGAGTCCAGCTTTTGTTCACCAGATTTGGGAACTGCAAGAACTGCAATGCCGTCCATACCTCCACCCAAAAATTTGAGGGTTTTGTATTTGATGTCGGCACTGTAAGGAATCATGGTTTGGTAGGAAGATGAAGCAGACATTCTGTAACGTAGATACTGACGCTTGAAAAGAGGGAGTACGGATTACATATAGGTTAGTGGGAAGCAAACGGACATTCCGCACTGGTCATCTGGACTTCAGCAAACACATTGTAGACTTCTCCATCACACAAATGGGCAGCGGTAATGACCTCGCAGCACATCAGCCGACATGATTGAGCAACTTCATAACGTCTGTGACAAGCTTGAAGTATACCGCGCTCGGGTTTCATGCTTCCATTGCTATCCATGCATACCAATGTCTTCTGCAGCCGCCACTAATCTACAGACTTCCGTCAACAATGACGTCTATGTCACCGTCCTCCACCACCTCCATCTACTCCTCATCCGCACCCTTTCCATTCCAAAGCGCCTCCCTGACATCCGCCGATCTCCCCTTGTCGTATAGCTCCTTCGCCGAGCAATCCGCCAGATTCCTCCACCTCCTCTTGAGGTCTTTCCACGACAGTTGTCCCTGTGGGTCGTAACCCGCAACGAACGAGTACAATCTGTCTCCATCCCTCAAACTCCTTCCCTTGCTATCCTTGAGCTTCTCTCCTTTCTTGGTGGTGCGGAACTCGTCTGGGATGCGTGATTCGCAGTTTGTGAGATATTGAAGCAGATTCATGATCTGCTTGACAACGGCTTGCTCGTCCCACACAGCAACATCCTCGAGGTGCACAATCTGTACTTGAGGCAACTCCTGCTCCATTGTAGGTGATAGGAGGATGTTGGTTGCGCTGAGATCTGCGTGGCAGATGTTGTTCGGTTCGAGGTCCATGTTGTGTGTGTTGATGAGGTCCGCGAAGATCTTGCAGACGAGGAAGGGTGGCAGGCCGTCGGGAAAGAGAGCGTCCTTGAGGCATTGGAGGCATGTCATTATATGAGCTTGATGTGGGTATCGGTGTCGAGAACGGAGATGATTTGGGTATTGGTATCGAGGGAAGAGATACTGTAGACTCGATAGTAAGGTACGGAAAGGTCAAGAGTCTGTTGACAAGAAACGCGATGGCCTGTGAGTGTGTGCGTGTGCCGGCTAGCTTTTGATAGGCGAGCTTTACGCGGTGACTGCGCGGCTCATTTAAGCTCATCAAGACTTCATCAGTGAACGTGAAAATTGTGACGAATCAGGAACTAAGGATGGGTATGAGAGACAGAGATGAATGAAGCAAGGGCATGCATTTGCTACACTATATCGACCGTAGAAGTCGCCGATGAAGGATTTGAACACTCAAGTATACTCAAGCCTTCTTGTCCTTTGAAGAAATCACGCCAGTCAGCTGGATAGCGTCATCCACCAAATTGTTGAGCTGATCAAATTCGCCTGCGAGCCATCTATCCAGCAAAACCTGGTCTTCACTGACAAACGTAGGGCGCTCTGCCGGTAGAACTTTAGTGCATTCTTTGAGATCGTTGATGTTGTTGACGCCAAGAAGAGACAAACGTGTGTAGGCTTTAGCGTAGTCCTGCATGAATGTGTTAGCTAGGTCTTTTTCTCGGGTATCTGGCGAGTCATACCGCATTCCATTGAGGCTGAGCAGTACCTCGAACGCTAAACTGCGCCCAAGAAGCGCTCGTCCTTGAGTCCTTGCTCAAGTTGATGTCGCTTTGGAACTTGATGATGCGAACAGGCGTGTTAGGGTTTGTCGTCTGTGGGTAGAAGGCCATGTCCCAGACACCAGGAGTAGAGTCTTGTGGGTCGCCGTCGCGGCTAGTGTCGACGAAGTGTTGCTGCGATGTAGTGTGCGCTCCGACCAACGCGACTAGATCGTGTGCATCGATAGTCTTGTCTTGGAAAAGCTTGATGAGCTTATCCGCAGAATCCTTCTCTCCAGGGAGAAGACCAGTAGGCCCAGCTTTGCTGTTGTCTTTACGCCCAACGAACGTTCTGACCCTGGGTCCAAGTGGACACACAACAGTGGCGACGTTGGCACCAAACTGGATGATGTCCGCCATGCTCATTCCGTATTGGTTGTATTTGGTGTACCACTTCTTCGTTTGGTCGGCAATTGCCGAAAGACCGTTGTTATCTGTACGCGACATCTCGTCGCTGAGGAGAATACTGCCGTCTGCACCGCCATAACTGCTGCTCTTAGACCATACGCCTGCGTCATGGAAGCCTAGACGAACAGCTTGGCGAGCAAACTTGCTGCAGCGACCGGAAGTACCGTTGAACTTGGCCGTCATCTCGTACGCGAGCCACTTCCAATGACAGCACATGTCGGCTTTGCAGGCGGCACTGCCGATGTTGCCGGCAGGGATGGAGCTATCAATGGTAGCAGACTCCGCAGACTTCTGGTCGAGGATGATCGCTTTGATGTCCTTGCCGATGGCAGTGAGCTTGGAGTCTGCGAGTGTCTTTAGGTCGCCGATGAGTTCCTTTGATGCTTGTCGCTTTTCACGGGCAGCGAGATGGCGCATCTCTGCCATGGTATCGCCCATCCCTGGGTGAGCTTCAGTGAGGGGCATGCATGCCAGGAGAGCATAGCTGAAGTAAGAGAAGGCTTTCATCTTGCTTGATGATGATGATGCAACAATTATGGAGTGACAAAGTGGACAACTTGATATGAGTGAAATGATCGTGCGTGGGTTCGGACTCTTATAGACTTCCTCTTAGTAACCCTAAGGAGTACATCTCGCTTCAGTGATACTTTAGATTGAGACATGATTGCTACCTACCGTCCAGAATGCCAGTATTCGGGTGCAGATGGATACGACCGCTGCTTACCCTGCATATACTGTCATACCATATGGCATTCACCTCGCTGATCAAAAGCTTCCGACCCCGTCTTCATCGTATCATATCCGGGTGTAAAGTCGAAAGACCATCTGGAAGGCCGAGATTCCAGAAAGGAAGGAGCTGACAGCCAAGAGGTAAGATCGGAGGCTAGATGATTGGTTAAGACCGAGCAAGGTGGTGAGAAAGACGTGCCTGGCTACCGGGTACGCGAACACGGGAGGCGAAGATTGGTTTGGAATGCTGCCGTAATACGTGAAGTATATTGCACGTGCAGCTGAACGCAGAGCTGGAATCATCTCGTGTAGTAGTTAGGCTATGCAGGGGCTGAAACTGATACTTATTCTCGCGGATACTTCTGTGAAACACATATCAATTACACAGGATCAAAGGTCATCAGCTTCGGTATACTGCCGTGTTGTGTAGATCACAGTACGCTCTTACTTCTGAACAGCTTTCCTGCTTTTGTCAATAGCAATGAACACGCGGGATATTAGACGGCGGCCGAAAGGACCGGCAAGTCCAGACGCAGGCAATATACCGAGCTCGTATAGGGAACAGTCGAATGGACTCCAGGTAATACGACTATTCTTAGAAGCTGCCAGTGTGTCGGTCCCAGGTTGCAGGCTGTAGATCCTGCGACCGCAATATCAACCCGTCGATGGTGGAACCGAGATACATTAGTGCTTCAGCCTCACAATCAAAGTAGATCTGGGCATATGCTCCCAGGACCACAGGCGACTGTATTCGACGCACCGCGAACGGCACTACAGAGTAGAACGAGAAGAGGCGTCGAGCGAGAACGGATTTTAGAGCGACCAGGTAGTGATGCGTGTGGCAGACAACTGCAGTGAACCGGTAAGCTGCAGGCCAGGGCGCCGCCGCCAGGCGAGTAACATTTAGCCGGATAACACACAGTACCCAACGGCTTCTTCTTCGTACCGAGCCATGGTTCGATGCCAATGCAAGAGGCTGCCTTTGCATGTGCGTCTTGTTTAGCATATCAAGCACGTGGTTTGCTGTGCCTCCTGCCAGAGATGTAATGTCGATCGTTCATCATGCGTGATGAAAGCCGAGATCATGAACTTCTTCCTACACATATATCGCATGCGGTTGTACAGAATGACCAGCCGAGGCGATAGGGTGCTGAACAGCCGGTACTTGTGACGGTGCTGGGCTACTTCAAGCAACGGATAACACTCGACGTGATCGGCCGCGAAGCTGGATGGGCGAGGTTCGGATGGAGCCGGCGTGCGCTGGCGCATACGTTGAGGAACGACGCCGTAAAAGGCCACACTGTCTAAATGGAGGACCTCAGCTGGTGTGTTCCTCCATTTTGCAGCTGTGGTCGTCGCGGTATGGACTGCTCATGGCACGAAGGAAAGCCCGTCATCCGCCAGTGGACCTCGGAAAGGTTGAGGCTGAAAGGCGGAACCGCGCGCTAGGGGTGCCGAAGATGTGAACACAAACGATGCGCCTACACCAGCGGGGCGATTGTGACGCATTGAGGGTTGTAGAGGCCGTCGTCGTCGCCGTCGCGAAAGCTGGCGCTACTGGGTAAGAAGGGGATGAAGGAGATGACGTGGGGCCGGGCCGAAATCGCGCCATCCGGACTCGGCCTAGACGGAGTCTAATTCAATCCCTACTAGAGAGCCATCTCTCTTCACAGCCACCAACTTCCAACATCAAAACGCCGCACAGTCGCGTTGCGCCCAATAGCAAATCTCCGCCAAGATCGAAAGGATTGAAAGAATGGGCACAGTCGCAACTTTGTTCGTCTTTGATTCCGACGGTGTTGGAAAGTAACACAGGCGCCGCAATGCTGCGGACCGCGATCGGTTCTCATGGCGCAGCTGCGCTCAGCCCTTACAACAAGACGAGCTCTTTCTCCCGTATCTCAGGCTCTCCGTCGCTTCATTCATGTGTGTTGTTGATCTTGTTAGCTTCTCTCTAGTCCACACAACCCCCTCAGTCTCCTTACCAGCGCTTCAGTCGTCGAGTGCATCCCGACGATCATTCTCACCTTTTCCTGGTTCTAGTTTGCTACACAACCAATCCCGCGACGATGCTACCGAGCAGACTGCGACGCCTATCTAGCCTGTTGTCGAACCCGAAGACCTCCTTCCAGGTCCTGTCAGATCTCCACTTAGACTACGAATCACAATACCTCACGTTCCACGTACCCGCTGCGGCGCCCTTCCTGATACTTGCTGGAAACATTGGCAGACTTATAGACTACGAGCTGTATCTGTGGTTTCTGATTCGACGGTGTGGTCTTCATGGGAAGGTATTTATGGTTCTCGGTCCTCTGGAGTTCCACGGTATTAGCTGGATGGACGGCTTACAGTTGGCGCACAAGATGGAGAGAGAGCCTTCTCTGAAGGGAAAATTGGAGATACTATACGAGACGGGAAGCGACGTGCCCGGTACGAACATTACGCTGCTTGGTTGCACGCTGTGGAGTAACATACCGGATTCGGACGCACCTGCTGTGCTGCGAAAGATGCCCGAATTCAACAGGGATACCGGTATAGAGATGTGGGACATCGCCAAGCACAACTCGGAGCATAAAAGGGACTTGAGGTGGCTCTTGGAGGCAGTCAACAGCCCCAATGCATCACTGAGTGGCGCGTTAGCACTGACATGTTCCGGAGCGTCAAAAGATGAGCGACAAATCGTCGTTGTCACATCATTCGCGCCAGATCTACCTGGTTGTTTGGACTCCTGGCACGTAGATGCGCCTTGGGCATCAGCATACGGGACCAATCTGCTACACGGCCCTCATTTTCGCAATGTGAAGATGTGGATCTCGGGTATGACAGGCCGGACATGTGAGTTCAAGCGAGGTGACACAAGGATCGTGAGCAACCAGCGGGGCCGAGAGGGCGAGCATGCCACTGGTCTTCTGAAAGCAGGCATGTCCGATAAGCAGAAAACCGGCCTATTCGACGTCATGCGGGTGGTCAAGATTTAACAATCCTTCGAGTTATACAGCCGACGGCAGGATTCGCCTCAATATTAACCAAGCCGCTAACACCAACTCGTTGTGCACCCAAGCCTGAATGCGAGGTACGACGCGAAAATGCGAGCCCCACATATGTACGCTGACCAATCCGACGTCACGCCCTTCGACATGCGCCGGCATGTGGTCACACTTTTGCATCGTCATGCTTGCGGCGTAGCACATGCAACGTAGCAAGTAAGGAGACCCATCCTGATAGTACTTCACACATTCTATAACTAGCAGGATCATCGCCAGAGGGTTCTGCAACAATTGCAGAATCGTTTCCAATTTCAAGACCTACGATGTCTTCATCCACCGAGACTGTAACTCTAACGGCATCATGTCTATGTGGCGCTCACAACTACAGCACTACCTTTCCTGCATCCGCTCTTCCCTTACCAGGGCATGTGTGCCACTGCACAACCTGTCGGCACCTGTGCGGCTCGCTCCACACCTCGCTCACATCATGGCCTGAGCCTCGCGCCAACGTCGACATTTCCAGCCTCAACACGTTCAGCTGCTGGGAGCGCTTCGACCTCCTGTTCTGCCCTACCTGCTCAAGCCCGGTTTTCTGTGCCTTCAAAGATCCGGCCAGGAATCTGGGAGTGGTCACTGGTGCGCTCGGTAACGTGGATATTGGAGGTCGCCAGTTGATCAAGTTCAGTGGGCAGGGCTTCGTGGCTGACACGGAGGATGGAGGTGCGAGTCCTTGGCTCTGTGCACTCAATGGCGATGGGGAGGATCTGAAGCGTTATGAAAGTGTGGTAGCCGGTTGTGGCCCTGGAGCGAAGGAAATACCTGCAGACTGGCCACAATCCTCCACTATTCCGGAACTCAAAGCGAAAGAGGAAGAAAGTGTACCGATACGCTGCAAATGCGGTGGGGTAGATCTAGTCCTCCAGCGTGGCAATTACAAGCACATGGCCGAAGATGAGCTTCCCTCCAACATTGAACCTGTCAGCAGAAAGCTCAAAGCTGGCTTCTGCGGATGCAACAGCTGCAGATTACAAAGTGGGAGTGACGTCTTCAACTGGACGTACGCAGAGACAAAGTACATCACATTCGGAAAGGATAGCAGCAAAGATTTCCCCAAAGACATGTATGCCCTCAACGAACTCATCGACGCAAAAGATCCCGCTGTGGGTACGCTGAAGTACTACAACTCTTCGCCCGATGTCTATCGCCACTTCTGCGACACCTGTTCCGCAGTGGTCTTCTACACCACTGGCAAACGACCGCAGATTTTCGACATCGCTATTGGTCTGTTGGAGTCCAAGGATGGTGCTCGAGTTGAAAACATGCTGTATTGGCCTTTTGGAATTACGTTCAGTTTCCAGGAAGACGGTGATGGTGGGTGGCGAGAGGGTGTATATGAGAGGCTGAGAACCAAGGCGGAGGAGTGGCGTGTTGCGAGGGGATACCCAAAGAATTGGAAGAGCAGTGCCGAGTACCAAGACATCAAATGATATTAAGTGTCGTAGCTTCCGAATTCCTGGTCAAAGACGGTCAAACCTCGTCCCGAACTGAGCTCATCGTATTCACAAAAAGAAACTCTTTCACTACAAATGCCATGCGCACTTATCCATACGCGTCGGAAAAAGCTAAATGTAATCTCTATTGTGATCGTTTGTTCAATGAAAGAGTCGGTCAGAAGCTTCCCTGGCAGTACACAACGCGCGGCACATTCACGCGAGACTTTGGAAGCAGACATTCGCCGACGACACGCCCTTTCTCGCTGTCAACAGTGCACGCAGTATCTCACTGAGGTCTATCTTGATACGCTATTTCCCACCTAATGTGAGGTTGTTAGCGCGTCGAGCGCCTTCACACGCGTAGTGCCAGTGATGACTTCCCTCCGGGGCTGTCGCATGCTGGACTGATGCACTATCATGCGCACAGTCACCGTGATTTCCCATTTGGGCAGTTCTCTCACTCAGCTCCGCAACCAGCTCTGCCACCGACTTTGCAACCATCTCTTCTACCACATCTCTATCTTCATTTCGCAAACATGGAGTCCTCCGCTCCGTCGTTCGATCAGGCGTCCGCTGTAAAACGTCTACCCGGCGCCGTTCCCAGGCCCCCATCTGATTCCTTCCGCGTGGTCAAGACCCTCTCAGCACCGAGATCTTCCACGGGAGTGTACCTTTGCCTACCACGCACACTTCCCCCTCCATTCGAGCCGTCAAATAAGATTGATCCGGATATTTCCGATGACACCATCGAAAACCACGACGCTTGGAAGACCTTGTCTGGATTTGCGCGTCTCCAACAGCAACTGCCGTTGCTGACATACAAGAACCTGGCCGACTGTTTGTACAAGAGCATGAAGGAAAACTGCACGTCTTCGCTATCGGAACAACATCTGAGAATGCTGCCTCAACTGGTGGTAGTCAAGACAAGGAAAGACATGGACGTGCTTCGCAATGAGGCAACGCAGTTTGAGGAGCACCGTAAGAGGGACAAAGCTTCGCTATTCATCGGCTCATATGTTCTACGCGCTGAGTACGCCGACTCGTCACCCACCTCGTACATCTGTCTCCGCCCCATTTTCGGTCCTACGCTGGCGCAGTTTGGCGAAGCGAACATCCTGAATGATCAGGGCGGCATTCCCAGCTGGTTCGTTGCGCACATCATTCTGGGCCTGATCGATGCTGTATGGTTCCTACACGAGGAGGGTTTGGTACACGGGAAGATTGAAGCATCGAACATCATGCTCAATCTGTATCCTATGGTGCATCACCATCGGTACCGCGGCTATCCAGACATCCTGCTCATAGACTTCTCAGCCACCGGTCCAAGTAATGAAGACGCCGTGAAAAAGGATGAGCGTGATGTGCTTAAGGTGATAGAGCAAGTCGTTACCAAGTGGTCAGATGTCGCCCCCTTCCTGGACACAGATGACGTCGGAGATCCTCTCATCGCTTTACTGGCAGCTGTCGAAATGACACTCAGTGGACATTTCGACGGGTACCACAGTATCTCCGACCTCCGTGACGGAGCTGAGGACTTGCGACACGAAGGTCCACATCTCATACCAAAAGCCTTGATGAAATTGCTGCATGCGGACCTGGCGACGGCTGCTGAACTCGACCGCGCCGTACAAGAGCCAGCTGTGATTGAGGTGGCAGCCGACACAGAAACGTTAGGGGAAATTTCAGAAGACGAGTCTGTGACCGTGGGTGGAAGCGACTATGGGGGTGTGAATCCTGAATCCACGGGCGACAAGACGAGAATCATTGAAGACGGAGATGTTGAGTTTGGCGAGGACGAGGAATGGGCGCGTAGCGGCTGAGACAACCTAAACACTGCTGTCTGATGGAGACCGAGCAGGAGAAGAACGAGAAGAAACGACACGAGACGGATACCGAGAAAAGGATCAGAGATGACGAAGATGGAACGGAGGAAGTCAGAGTGATGGCCTTGTATAAAGCCAGAGCGACTATTCCGTCACAGTAATCATAGAATACGTATCTCCAATCAGGACTGCGTTTACAACCACTCCTTCGGTACTGCCCTTTCAGACCATATCCTCTCACTTTCCCATGCCAGCCAATCTGATTTTGTTGTTGGTAAGAGTCCCATGCCATTCACTTTCCATATACCCAACGCCAACATCAGCATGTTGCATGCAATGTAGACAAGCTTGACACCGAGTAGTCGTCCAGAAGTGCCGGGAGTCTCAAAGGGAGCGAAGGTGCGTTGAAGACCTAGTACAGCGAGGACGGGAGTTTTGAAGAGCGTGAAGACCATGAAGACGGAGAAGATTTGCAGGGTGTTGCCTGTCATGTACATGCCTGGTGCGGTTAGTGTCTGCTCGCAGAGTCTCCTGTCAAATGACATACCAAAAGCGTTCATGGGCAGCTGCTTTGCGGGCGCGATGGCGACCTCCCACGCCTTCTTCATCTTGAGCGTATCCATCTCTTCGGGTGTCGGGGGCTGCCTCTGAGTCTTTGATGCCTGGGAACGCTCCTTCTTGGTGAGAGATGCCGTGTAGCCCGGTGGGTCTGAGAGCGAGGCGTTCTTCGGCTTGGATGCGGGCGTCGAGTTGAGGTCGAGCACCCACTGCGGGGGCGGTGGAGGCGATTTCGACATGATGGAGCGTCTTTGTGATGGCGGAGTATCGGATAGCAGAGTCTGAGATGTTGCTGCGGTGGCCAGGGTCCAGGGTCTCACGATGTTGCAACTTCGCTCGTGGTGTTGCGGAGCGGGCCTCTGGAGAGCTCCACATATGGCGGCCTTGGCGGATGCACGTCCCCTCCTCCGTGTTGACCGCTGGCAGGCTTCCTAAAAGTTACGGTTCCCAGACGTCACAAATCATTTCTGTCGTTACGCCTCTCCAGCCCTCTTCCACGTTCCTCCGATATGCGCGACACGATACGAAGCCGATAGACCAGCGAATCGGCCATCGAACCCCGCACGCTTCCTCGAGACGGCAAGGGAGGGGCGCTAAGTCGCGAGGGAGGTTATCTTGATTGTGCTACGGCAGGCACATGCATTGGGAGGACAGCCCAGCTGGCATACGCGACATCATTAGCCCAACATGAGCCAGGGCGGCCAAGATGCGAAGCTCTTTGCGAGGGTACGTCTGTCTCGTCATTCGTGCCACCCACGTCTCCGACTTGTGCAATTGCATGTTCTCCTATTCAGCCCGTCTGTCTGCTATGAGCATCCACTGCCATGATGATGTTTCTACCCTACACCTTTGACAACGCGCGCTTACAAAACCTCCGCACTCCCCAGGGCAAAGTCGCGGAACTCCGTGTCGAACTCAACAATGGCAACAAGAAGGACAAGAACTTCTCCCAGAAGAAGACGGCCCTCAAGAAGATTGTCGCCAACATGACCATGAGCAACAACGACATGGTCGCGCTATTCATGGACATTGTGGGCTGCATGCACATACCCAGTTTGGAGATCAAGAAGATGTGGGTAGTGAGGATCACCTGAAGAAGGGCTATGCTGACGCGGGCAGGTGTTTCCTGTATCTCGTCAACTATGCCAGGATAAAACCTGACATTGCGCTTAAAGCGCTACCCATCATTCAGGAAGACATGCACGACAACAACCCCTTAGTTCGAGCACTCGCCCTACGGACCATGTCCTACGTTCACGTCCGAGAATTCGTCGAAGCGACCGTGCCACACCTGAAGAACCTTCTCAAAGACTCCGATCCATACGTTCGAAAGACGGCAGCTTTCTGCGTGGCGAAGCTCTACGATCACGACCGACACTTGGTGGAACAATCAGATCTGATCGACAGGCTGAATGGCATGCTAAGAGACGAGAACCCCACAGTAGTGTCAAGCGCGTTGGCAGGGCTCATGGACATCTGGGAGCGAAGTGAGAACATCAAGCTCACGATCGACTATGCGAGCGCATCCAAGATTGTCCAAATCTTGCCAGACTGCTCAGAATGGGGTCAGACGTACATCCTAGAGGCTATGATGAACTACGTCCCTCAGGATACCAGCGAAGCTGCGCTCCTCGCTGAGCGCATATCGCCACGCCTTTCCCACTCGAATTCTGCCGTCGTTCTTACCTGCATTCGCGTTATCCTCTACCTAATGAACTACATCAGCGATCAGAAAGTCGTCACTTCGTTATGCAACAAGCTGTCACCGCCGCTCGTCACACTCCTCTCCAAAGGACCTGAGATTCAATACCTAGCACTACGCAATGCGCTTCTGATCCTGCAGCGCAGGCCAGAGGTACTGCGAAACGATATCCGCGTCTTCTTCTGCAAATACAACGACCCTATCTATGTCAAGGTCACGAAACTTGAGCTCATCTTCATGCTGGCGACGGAGAGAAACATCAAGGAAGTGCTGACGGAGCTTTCTGAGTAAGTACTCTAAGGTCACTCTGAATATGGGGAACTAACATCTACGACAGATACGCCACAGAGATCGACGTCGACTTTGTGCGCAAGTCCGTACGCGCCATTGGCAAACTGGCCATCAAAATTGCGCCAGCTGCACAACTGTGCATCAGCACCCTCCTCTCGCTCGTCAGCACGAAAGTCTCATACATCGTACAGGAAGCGACAGTCGTCATCCGCAACATCTTCCGGAAATACCCCAACCAATACGAGTCGATTATCTCAACACTATGTGAGAACCTCGACTCACTAGATGAACCAGAAGCGAAAGCCGCTATGATCTGGGTCATCGGGCAATACGCAGACCGAATAGAAGACTCGGACGTTCTGCTAGAAGACTTCCTGGATACCTTCCAAGAAGAGACCCATGAGGTGCAACTGGCACTACTCACTGCCACCGTCAAGCTGTTCATCCAAAGACCTACCCGTGGCTCCAATCTCGTACCAAAGGTCCTGAAGTGGGCAACTGAGGAAACAGACAATCCCGATCTCCGTGATCGAGGCTACATGTACTGGCGTCTACTCTCTTCCGCACCCGAAGAGGCGAAGAAGGTCGTCATGGGCGAGAAGCCTCCGATTACCGCCGAAGAGTCCGAGAAGCTCGACCCTGGTACCCTGGAAGAGATGTGTCTGAACGTCGGCACATTGGCTACAGTATACCTCAAGCCAGTTAACCAAGTCTTCCGCAGCGCTCGTCCACGTAAACTGCAAGACTCGCCCGCCCTACAAAAGCATGAACTCCCGACTGTCAAAGCAGCGCAGCAAGCTCGAGACCGCTCCGCCGCCGAACGCTCGCGACTTGACACTACTACTAATGGTAATGGATCACTTTTGCCGACAAACGGCAATGGTATGGCGAACGCTGTCAGCGATGCAGACATGTATTTTGCTAGTGTGGGAAGGCAGAGTACGTTCGGTGGTAGTCCCATTGCGGATCAGGTTGGCGGCGGTGCTGGAGGTGGATGGGTGGTTAATCAGAATGAGCCGCAACACATGGTCCTGAGTCCCGGAGCAAACGATGGAAATCAGGATCTTTTACTTTAGGGGCAGTTAGTATTAGTAGACGTTTGTAGATAGTGTAATGATCACGGGGAGATGTACATCACACAAAGCTTGACGGGTATGAGACTTTTGTGCTACTTCAATGGTAGCAGACGCTTTTGCCTATGTGAGCCATATGTATCCTAGGTCCTTGTTGCCTATACGTCTCGACGGTTGAACCAATATGGTGTGTGCCATGTGTACATATCCTCAAACTTGAACCTCGAAAATCATATCCTAATAGTCGCCCAATCAGATCATCAACTCCTTATCTCCAAGCAATACAGCTTGCAAATAGATCCGTGAGGACGTTTCGACATCCCTCTAGTCATCAGCCAACAGAGGTGCCCTCTCCCGGTCCTCGCTGACGATCTGACCACGGGGGAAGGGATCGCGTCCAAGCAGGCCAGGCATACCAACAGCAAGCGAGAGGAGGAAGAGTAGACCGCCGATTGAGAAAGCGAAGATCCACTGGAGTTGGAGGAGATGTGGGCGAGTCAGGAACTGTCCGACACCGGTTGCTAGAAGCCAAGTTAGCCAAATGCATCTTTTGTAGTGGAAGAACAGGGGTGAAACTTACAGAAAGACAGCACACTCAACGCAAAGCCCATGGTGTAATCCTTGTACGCAACCAAGAAGAACATGCCATACCCAAGCCACCCCCAAATAAACACATTCGCCACGATCCTCGCGGCAAAGTGATTCGAATGAACCGCAATAGCACCAACCCAGTACAACGCAACAAAGTTCCACGCAAGCGGTCCACTCACAGTACCCACATGGATCGTCCTCGGGGCAGCAGAGTGGCGGAAATAAGCCAAGCTGAGATTACCAAAGTTGAGCACGAGCAAGAAGAGCGCAAGCCAGAAGTGCGAGCGGGTGAACAGGTGAACAAAGCCAAAGAGAAGAAGGTTGTTGGCGATGAAGTGCGAACCCAGGTTTGCAGCTGCAGTCACGTACGTCTCGTCGCTCATGTACAGGGCGTATGCGTAGCCGCCTTGCAGGATGAAGATGATGAGCACGTAGATGGAGGTGAAGATGCTGGACTGTGCGAACGGGGTTTGCGGGTTGTTGTGCCAGAACTTGTGCGAGTGCGGGCCTGAAGGTGCGGCGAAGGTGGTGTAGATGGCGGAGATGACGAGGAGCAGCCATGAGATCGTGGTCGTGATCTTGTAGAGCAGGATGGACTGGTCCGAGTGTGAGGTGCGTTTTGCGAAGGGGTTGAGCGTGCTGCTGCCGCCGTTGGAGTCGTTGGCGGGGGCGGCGTCGGCCATGATTGTGAGGTTTGTTTGGGGTGTGGATGGGGGAACTTTTAGTGTAGATGTCGGTGGTGTTGTCGGTGGGAGGGAGGCAAAAGGTAGACGAGGAAGAAGAGAACCAGGTAGCACAAGCTGAACAAACGAAGAGTAGAGCGGAAGGTTCGATGGTCAATCGGGTACTTGCACCTTAGCCCACGCCTTCGCCCTAATCAAGTACCGGGACCCAGCAAACAAACCACGTCCAAGCGTCCTGTCAAAAGGTGCACAGGCAGGAGCGAAGGAGAAGCGTATCAACCTTTCCGTCGGATCAGCCACCATAAGTACAGTAGTTGCCCCCATCTTCCAGCTGCCCCCATCCCCGTGTACGTTTCATCCTCCTACACACACTCCTCCCAGGCAACCAACTAGCCATCGCAATCAAGGACGCGACCCAGAAGTACGTCACGCCCCGTAAGCTAAGACCCTTGGAGGTGCATGATGCGCATGTCGCGCGTTGGCTGCCCCGCACCGAAACCTTGTCCCATGATACGGAATGCACGCTAATCATTGGTTCCCGCGCCTGTCCACACCGATGTTGACATGCTACACCATGTACTTGGGCGGCGGCCTGCGGGGGCTGCAGTTACACCGGCGCTGAGTACGGGATTCGGACGGGCGCTTAGGCAGGGTTTCCTACCCTGGGGGTTGTGGCAATCTTGGGAGGGGTGTATTGGTACTTTGGGTGGTGTTGGAACTTCACTCCCGCGGGGTTGGTTCAGCTCTGATACATTGAAAGCTGTTTAGACGATGCAAGGAGCCATTGAACACAATTGAAAGACAAGTGTAGTATGAGAAACTTCGAATTACATCCTTCGCATACTCGCCTCCGGGGGTATCTATCTTCTACATGCGCATATTCTAGGTAGAGCTACAATCGACGATCTGCCCCACAGAAATTCTACAAAGACAACTCCAAATAATCACGGCTCACGCGCCGATTCGCTAAAGTGAAATCAACTCCACCAATAAACACCAAGCTGGGAAACGTCAGGTATAGTCTGCCTTGCGTAAGCCGGCAATAACCACTGATGAACGCAATCGCGGTATCGCATCGCGGTACGCGTGATCAAAGAATGAAAGCAGAACAAAATCGAGTGGAGGGGCTGTAGTGCTGAAGTACTCTAACGAGCTGGCGTGTCGGGTATGTCCCAGATATCCCTTCCATTCTCCTCTTTCTTCAATTCAGCACCGGCATCCTCCGGTCTAGTGTGTGAGTTCATGGCTCCATTCGAGTTTGATGCGAATGGTATCGCGCCGTTTGGTGTGAAGACAGGCAGATCAGCCCTCTTGCTTGGCGGTGACATGAGTGGAACTCCAGGCATGCTTGTATCCTCAGCATGTGTATTGGCAACCCACTGTAAAGTTGCCGAGGCCTGAGGATCTGATGCGTCGTGCGGAGTTACAAACTCTGAATTTCCGCCAAAGTTCTGCGCAGTGTAGTTGACAAACTCGGAAAGATTCGATGGGGGTGGAGGCGGAGGCGTATCGGCGCGGGAAGGTGGTGAAACATCCTTGAGCGGCTCTGTTACAGTGACGAAAGATGGCTGCGAAGTTAGCATATGTTTCATGTGCATTACGTGGTCAGAACTTACCATAGGTAGCTGTTCCCGGATTTGCTCGGGTGTTATAGCCATATCATGCAATTCAGTGGGTGGTTGCACGATTCCGCCAGAGATTCGACGATCGATTGGAGGTTGTTCCATGGAAGCTTGCATTTCCTGCTGTGGCAAGACAGTAGACGAATCCATCTGTACCGGCTGAGGCTGCTCGAGCGGCGCAGCAGCAGATACCTGCATCTGCGGGGCCTCGGGAACTGGGGATGCAGGTTTGGAAGTCTTTGCTGGACGACCTGGACCCCTTTTTGCGGTCGTCGCTGGTTTGGTCGCAGGCTTTGTCGGAGGAGCGCGCGCAGCCGGCGGCTTTCGGGTAGTGGTTCTTTTCGGTGCTTCGGCAGCCTTCAATTTCTCAGCCTTCTCCCTCTCCCGTGCATCATATTCCTCTTTTGAGGGCATCTTCAACGTAACCCGCTTTAGGCCTGAAGTAAGTGCGTCCATGCCATCGTTCTCCTTGTCTTTAGGGGCACTGGGTTTGACAGACTGGGTTGAAGGCATTTTTGTAACGGCTGGACGTGGAGGCGCACGAGCTGCTGCAGCTGCCGTCGTTGTTGAGCCCCGTGCTTTCTTCATCGCAACTCCGTTGGCTGGAGCTGCAGAAGGCGCAACACTTCTCCGGCTTGCTGCTACACTTGGCGCACGACTAACACCCCTGTTATCGCCTATGGAAGAGACGCTCGAAGCAATACTCATGCGACGAGAAGCAGAGCTTACTGCAACTGAAGCTTCTGAGCTGGCTGGTGCAAAGTCGGCTATGGTCTGCCGCCTACTCGCCCGTGACTCTACACGAGATGTCTTTTCGTCGTCCGAACCAGGCTCAGCGTAGGAGGGAGCGGCTTTACGACCACGCAGTTGTCGCCCTGATGTATCTGTGCGGGCTGGGGCCGCAGCAGACGCAGCAGGCTTCTCCTTTTTGGCTTTGACCTCGGCCAAATCCTCTGGTCGGTGGCTACGAGTTTGGCGATCCGATGGTACCAGCAAAGTACGCAGAGCATGGGCGGCAGTAGCCCAGTCAACCTCCGGTGGTGGTGGGGTGGGCGCTCTCAACGGATTTGAGGCGTACTTGGCGGAAAGGCTACGATTGATCTTGGTTGGATCCACAACTTTGGCTACGTAGGACTGGGTGGGCGAAGAAAAATGGGCCAGACGGTCAGTGCGTGTCGTCTTCGAGACATGTACGGGCGGGGGCGGAACGAGGCCATCCAATTCAGACAAACGATCTGTATGCCACCATAGGGGATCGTAGCTGACGGGCGTGAGCTCTGCTTCGACAGACTGCATGGGAACGTCTTCGTCCTGTATGCTGATTCCACTAAGTCTGTTGCGCATAGAGTGAGAGAGGCCCGTTGATGGTTCTGAGGCCTTCAAGACTTGGCCATCCACGAGGCCGCTCAAATGACTGAAGACACCACTAGTGAGCGCTCGATCGCTGTACCCGCCCTCCAAAACTGAGATGACACGCCCTTCCACAGATGTGCCCTCTTCTTCAGCCAACCGGACCACATCCCGAGTGAAACGAGCGTAGAATTCAGTAGGCACGTTGACGCTGTGGCGTTGCATTCCAGCAGTCTCCCATTCACTCGCATCGAAACCAGCGGATAGGAAGATGGCTGCTTTGGGGGCAGGTTGATTTGGTGTGGACCGTAGGCGGTTGGTGTGGTGTTTGAGATATTGACGGGTTTTCTCAAGTAGTACCAAGTACTTCTCCTCATAAATTTCCCAGAACTGCTCGGGTGTCTTCCAAGATTGTAGATGGACGTTCCAGATAGACTGACCGTGGGCGTTGTCTATACACAGACTGGCCGCCTGGACTTTGTCATCGTCGCCGTCTTCACATGGGTATGAGTTGATGTCGTGTAAGCTGAAGTAGCCGATTGAGGTCTTTTTCCAGTTGGGGGTGTTTTTGGGCATGTTCTGGACCTTCTTGTTACGCGCCCATGTTATAGCCTGCGAGCCGTCTCCGTGATGCAGATCAAAGTCAATGATGGCTGCGTGAGTGAGCCCATATGTCATCATAGCGTGTTCAATGCCAACGTGAACATTATTCAGCCAGCAGAAACCCGAGGGAAAGTCGTCAGAGCAGTGGTGGCCAGGCGGACGGATGCAGACGAAAGCTCTAGAGGGGCCACCACCTAGACTTGTTCCCTGGAAGACAGCGTCCACAGCGTCCAAGACACCACCCAGAGCACCCTGAAAAGCGTTGAGGGATTCGGGACAGAGGTAAAGGTCACCCGCATGCAGTTGCTGCTTGGGCGCTTGTCCAGGAACTGGAGGAGCGTCCCTGGCCAGCTCCTTCCCAGTTGATGCGAGCTTCCGCTCCGCATTGTCGCAGAGTGTCTTGAGTTCGCCCATCCATTTCGTTCCGTGTACGTTTGTGACGACCTGCGAAGTGATGTCGACAGCGCGCGAAGTCTTGCGAATCTTGAAAGGTACCCGTTCGGGTGGGTTATGGTGTGGATGTGGCGGGTTGTCTCCCTCAGCGTGGCGCTCTCCGAGCCGTACGTAGGCTGCCGATATACCCAAGACACTCGCCAGGATTCTCTCGGGTCGCTCCATGATCAAGCTGAGGTGGCTCTTGGATGTCTTGGGACGTGAGAAGCGATGGCCGTAGCATTGGTCGTGCACAATGACGACAGTTCCTGCGTTGACTGCGCCTGCCATGCCCTCATGTCGGGCCAGCTCCTTCTTAAAGTACTCCTCGGCGACATCACATGCGCGCAGAGGTGGCTTCTCTTCTACATGTGTGGGACCCAGCGGGCTCTTGGGCATGGGTGCCTGCATATTCGGATTGAACGACGACCGGCGGGAAGCGGAACTTCGGGGAGTGCCCGGTCGAGGAGGATCGCCGCGGAGGGAAGAGGTCGAGGTCTTCCTGCCCAGGGTGGGCGTAGAGGAGCGGAAACTGGCTACACTGGGGCTGCGCTGGATGGCATTGGCTTTGAAATTGGGCGTCGAGGGCGTCCGGCGCAGGTCAGCGGAACTCCTGGGCGAGTTCAAGGCGGGGGACTGCGGTAGCGGGGTGTTGGAGGCCGAGTGCAGGGACAGGCGTTTGAGCGGGTGTGAAAGGAGGTTCGCGTCGCTGTTTGTTTGTCGCGCCCCGCGTGGAGTGCCAGGCCTCGCGGCGGCGGGGCTGGACCGCGGATGGTTCGACATCTTGGCGCTCTCTGCCTGCGGTGCAGGACGTCGCCCGTCGTGTGTGCGGGCGTACGATGTCCCGTATCGTGTGTCTTGGGGTGAAAGAAGAAAGGCGCGCTATGACGGAGCCATAACGCGTGCAGGCCACCTGCGTCCAAGCAGCCCTGGAGGGTCCCGCCCCTAAGCGAGCCCCTAGGGCAGCAACGGTCAGTAGGGCTGTCTCTTCACATGTGCTATCTTTACGTGAGATCTAGCCATTAGACACGAACCTCACCGGTTCATTGTCTAGCATCTACCATGTTCTCGCATACATCCTTCGCCGTGTATCAACCCGAGCTTTGCTGCAAGATCCAACCTATACCCTCCTTCAGATCCACCAATGCCTTCTTCGAAACGCTGTGCATGGGAAAGAAGTCGGGTGCGCCATGCGGGAGCCCAGTGTAAACCTCCATCTTAGTTGGTGTGCCGGCGTCTTGGAGCAGACTTTTGTACACAAGCGCCTCATCACGAAGTGGATCAGTCCTGAGTTCGTCAGCACTGTTCAACATCTACGACATATCGCACTCACCCCATAACCTGCAGATACGTAGCGGGTTGGCCTTTATGGGTCTTCCAGATCAACGGACTCATCAACGGTGACATGGGGTCTGGTTTGTAGTTGTCATAGAACCATTCAATGGCTTGTCGGCTCAGTACCAGGCCGTCTTTGTGGTCCTCCCAGCTGGATATGTGGGGTTTGTACTCTTCTGGCATGGCTTCGCGATGACACAACGGGGCAGACAGGAGGACGACGCCAGTCACCTTCGGAGACAAGTTGTCGTCAACAACTTGATGAGCTGCTACAGCTGCCAGATTACCTCCAGCTGATGTTCCTCCCACGGTGAAGCCTTTAGAAGGGTTGGCGCCCAACGACGCTGCATTTTCGCCACACTGAAGATGTGTAAATCAGTCTCTTGGAATTGGAACAAACGACTCTGCATGCACTTACCCATTTGACCGCATCGATGGCATCGTGCGCGGCAGTAGGGAAGACGTGTTCAGGTCCATACCTGTACCCAACGCTTACAACCGTGAAGCCCAACTCTTTCACCAATACTTCCGCCATGCTCTCGCCATACTCTGGCATTCCAAAACTCCATCCTCCGCCGTGGAAATATACATACAGTGGCCCTGCTTCTTTGCCCTCTGGACGGTACACGAGCGAACGCAGGGGTGCGCCATCGCGCGTCCGAATGTAAATCTCGGATCGGTGGTACCCAGTCCAGTCTGGCAGGCTTACGATACCGGCCGCGACCAGCTGAGCAATTTGCTCATTGAAAGACTGGCGCAGCTCGAGCGCGGATGAGTAGTCTTCGAAGGACTTACTCGGTGGTAGATTGGGTAGCAGCTTACTCTGTTAGCGAAGTGCATAGATGGACTTGCTGATGGTTCGTACGGCTTCCAACTCGGCGTCCATCTTGCTGTACTCCTTCCATGTTGACGAGTCGATCAGCATCTTTAATTGGGTTCGGAGGCAGTTTGCACTTGAAGGTAAGGTAGATAAGATCAGAGGCTTGTTTCGAGAGCTTGAAGAAGAGCTGTGGACGGGCGCGGGGTTTGTACAATACACAGCTTACGCCTTGCATTAGGTAGGCACGCCTAATGCGAGAGCCAAGCAGGCAGCCTCGTACACTCTATTGACAACTGCACCTACTCAGTCCAACCAACGCGAGTAAGCAAAACTAGCCATCATTCCATGAGTATACATGCGCCAAGAGTTACTCCCCGTTGGTCCCTAATCTGCGTTGCTTCGGCCGAAGCTGCGGGGCGTCCCTTTCTCTGCCTTCCCTCGTACAAGCTGACTTCCTGACATGACCTGGGCCCGCTCCCGCATGTATACAAGCCCTTCTCTACGCAGAACCAATCATGTTCTGGTCAAATCCCGATGCATCTCGTGCAAGGGAAAGCCGAACAGATGCGCTGCAGTTTACACTGATGCTGAACCCTTAGCTGACCAAACCCTTAAGGCACTGCAGACTTCCAGGAGGTTGACGTCCAATTGCTTCCTCATATGGAGTAGACACGTAGCCGCTAAGTGGCCACAGCCATACCATTGCGTCATCGGATGTATAGTTGTCCACGGCAAAGCGTCTAGGAGCTCTTCGCGGGAGGTTGCCGACCGATTTGTGGGCTCGTTGAACGCTTTCGCTTTAACGGTGCATTATCCTTGTGGTTGTCGGTGTCTTGATCTTGTTCAACGCCAGCTGAAGCATGAATTGCTGAAACATCATTCGTTTCGTCGGCATCGCTCTCAGGCTCGGTATCGCCGCCGGTATGCTCGTCCGTAGCGATCCCAGTTTCTGCCATGGAGAATGAAAGTCCAGTATGTGCCTGGCCGGTCTCTTCCGCTGGCATTTGGGGAGGATCTGAGACGGTGCCTTTGGCATCTTCACCAATCTCTGGAGATCCATGTTCAGGTTGCTGGTTTGCCGCTGCACTTTGGATCTCCTCTTCGAAAGCATTTACCACTTTAGCATACTCTCTGGCTAAGACTTTGCGCAGCTGTGGAAAGATCCCGCGTAGCTTTATGCACTCTTCCGTTGTCGCAATCCGGGTTGAGGCAATATGTCGAAGTGTACAGTCAGTAGTGAGCTCGCCAGGTTGTATCTCCTCCTCATTCGCTATCTTCTGACGAAGCTCTACCAGCCGATCGTACAACGCTCTAGAATCGGTATCCAACTCCGTTGGCACCTCATCGTCTTCCTCCATCGGAAAGAACCAACTTGCTTGTCAGCTCGGGCCATTCGGGTGAATGGATTGTAGATAGAGTGGCTTAGGCTCAGGCAGAAGACCAGAAGTATATTCGCTGTAGGTCCTGGTCTCTTCTACCCGTGCTGGTAGGGGCGGACAAGGCTTCATGTCTAGTCGTAGCGCATTCAGCCGATGGTAGATCATAAGTCCTGCATATGCATCTGCAACGGCGTACTGTATAAGCTCTTGGTTTGTTTCAAGCGGCGCCAACCAGTCCTTGTGCATGTGCTCTGTTTTCTTCAGCGTGTATCCCGGGAAGTACTTTTCGACCAGGCCTCTGAGACCTCCTGGAAAATATGAAGAATCAAAGCTTGGCCTGCCTGGATTGACCAGCACCTGAAAATAGCTCAACTCCATGGCGCCCTTGGGTTCTAGCTGAAAGTACTTGTTGAATCGCCAGAAATCTCCCATGATAGATTGGCCAGTCTTCAGTACAGTGGGGCTCTCGATGAGCGTGCGCAACGACGGCGCAATGAGCTGTTCGGCTGCATCTCCGTCATGACGTCCGATGTGAAACAAGGCTATTTTGCTCTCGCTCGCAACCTGGATGAGCGCAACTCTTCCCTTGAGAACTTCTGTTTCTGGCCAAACCCACTCCATGTCAAATCCGACAACAGCCTCATCGAGAAAGTCGCACGCCAATTGTTCGGATTTGGTCAAGTTGTCGCTGTAAAGAACCTCAGGGGGTAGATCTCGCGGACCCTGGAAACAATCGTGGCTGAACAGCACCCGCGAGCCATTGGGCTTTGGCTTCAGACGGAAGGAGCGAGGCCATGGGGGGTCCACGGCGCCGGTCATTGCCGCTGCCGCCATTACTTAGTCGGTTATGGTGACGAGAGCTTCGCAAATAGCACAGGTAGCGAGACGGTAAACTTCAAAAGGCGATAAGAAAGCGAAGGCGAGCAGTGGGGCTGCCGTTGCTAGTCCAAGCTTAGTGTTAACCCACGCGCCTCACTCCGCTTTCCTGGTCCGGCCTTCGGAGCCGCTCCCCTCATCAGCCCAGGAACGACAACCTCTTCGCCCTCATCCTCAACACGGAATGCAAACCCACGAATCTCGCGTAAGCGAAAATACTGTTACAGCTATTGAACTATATCCAAACCACGTATTGCATGAAGTTCACCGATCGAATTTGTTTGCACATGCAACGACGGCTACGTTTTTCCGCTGCGTCAAGACGCCATGAGAACTAACAGCAGCTGAAGAAATGTCTACTGACGCGAATTAGTGTGTAGATGCAGCAAGTGTTTAAGCTCCTACGAGACGTTATAGGCGATCTGAGTTGCAGTTCACAATCGTGGCGGGCGCACGCGTACTTGGGGAGACGGCTTAGGCCCAATTGAGGATAGCCCCAGATCCCCATCGTGTTGGTCTTGGAAACTACTCATGTAGTGGCCGCCACAACCTAGGTACCATCGTACATTACTCGACTGGCATCTTGACTAGATCTTGACCAGCTACGAACTTTCTATCTAGACAAGCCATGGTGTTGCTAGGAAGGTCCCCACCCTGCCTCACAGCTCGCCACTGCCCGGGATCACGCCCGGCAGCACCAGACTGGCGGGCTCATGCGCTCTTTACTCGTGGCAAAGGAATCCGGGATGTTATAAGAAAGTGCCCCCGACTCGTGCTGTGGGGTTGTTGTTTGTCGCACCTGTTTCGTGGGCACTTAACATCCAGCCATGATGCGATTTAGTCAATTTGTTCTCCTGGGCGTCTTCCCAAGCGTACTACTTGCACAACAGACATTCGAGTCACCCGACTTTGATATTACTGCTGCATTATTGGACAATGGTGTAAACGTCTTCGATATTCCTGACCCAACCGACCTATCCAAGCGAACCAGTTCAGGCTCATGTTCGGTTGCTGTAAGTCCCACCTGCCTCCACACGTTATCTTTTTTCAGGTATGGTACTGACCACGACTTTAGTGCAGCTCTCTTAAACGCATCTTTGGTGATGCGAAGGTCGAGACTCAAGAAGAGACAGGCTACGGCGTAGCTGTGAACTACTTCTGGTCACAGCAACAGCGCGAAGCACAACCGTATTGCGTCTTCAAACCCGAGGAAGCACGCGATGTGTCTACTCTCGTTCTGCTGTCGCGTCTTACTCAATGCCCTTTCGCAGTAAGAAGTGGAGGACATGCAGCATTCACTGGAGCATCGAGCAATGATGGTGGCATCACTGTTATCTTCGAGCGCATGAAGAAGATCACCCTGTCGGAAGACAAGAAGGTTGCTGCCATTGAACCTGGTAGCCTTTGGTACGACATCTATTCGACTCTTGCCAAGGACAATCTCGCGGTGATAGGCGGCCGCGTCTCTGCTATTGGCATCGGAGGTCTCACAACAGGAGGCGGCATCTCGTTCTTCTCTAACGAATATGGCTGGGCATGCGACAATGTCGCGTCTTTCGAGGTCGTTACCGCGTCGGGTCGCATCGTAAAAGCAAGCCAGAAATCGTACCCAGACCTGTACTGGGCATTGAGAGGTGGCGGCAATAACGTCGGCATCGTCACGACCTTCAATCTCGAAACTTTCGCTCACGGCCCGTTAATGCTTGGTGGACAGAGAAGGTTCTTTGAGGAAAGCTTCCCTGCTGCTATCGATGCTTTCGTGAACTTGGGGTCGGACAAAAAGGCCGATCCAAAAGCTGCTCAGTTCTTGGCCATCTTCCTGGATGCCGCTTCGAACACAAAGATCGCCGTTGCCGAGCTGGAGTATTCTGACCCGATTCTCGACGCTCCAGTCTTCGATGAGTACCGCGCAGTCCCTGCCTTCCAGGACACCTTACAATTGAATACCCTGGCCAACTTCACGCAAATGCTGAACGACAGCAACCCCAAAGGCTATCGAGACTCATTCTGGACTGCTTCATCCAAACTAGACTACGGGATGGTCGAATTCATGTTTGACGCCACCTTTGAAGAGTTCGAGAAGATCCGAGATGTTGCCGGTATCCTGCCTGCAAACACCTTTCAGGTCATCACCGTCGCACAACTCACGCAGATGCAGAAGAAGGGCGGAAACGCACTAGGCCTTGTGCCTTCCGACGGTCCGATTCTCCTCATAAACTTGAGTAGCCGTTGGGACAAAAAGGAGGACGACGAGCGTGTGTTGAAGGCGAACGCCAACATCGTCAGGAAAATGGAGGCCGAGGCGAAGCGCAGGGATATGGTCAACGACTACATCTACATGAATTACGCCAGTCAATTTCAGAATGTCGTTGAGAGTTACGGGGAGAGTGCGGACAAGCTGAGGAAAATCGCGCGCAAGTATGACCCTACTGAGGTTTTCCAGAAGCTGCAGCCGGGTTACTTTAAGCTGCAGGGGCCGCCAAATAAGAATTGGCCATGATGGTCACATTCATAGGGTAAGACATTTTGCGAGAAGACACGAATGAAGCGTATATCAGTATGTTGCTGCAAGATTGACGAGCACTCCCAGCCTCTCCATGCGCTGGGCGGGATGTGATTGTGGCGGTCGGCCTGGACTAGTCCACGGGCGCCGGACTACTACTTCATGCCCGCTGTAATGCTTCATCAATTGGCGCGTGAACATGCGCCTTACATCCTCTCATGGTTGCGACAGTGGACAGGATTGGGCATTTTCGAGCTGATACTGGAGTGGCTTGCTGCGCACCGCGTCATGCGCTCAGGTCGGCAAGGCAGCCACATTCAGCCCCCATCCTTCGTGCTGTCAGCCGTCGCGGGCTACTTGAGCGTCGCGCCCCCGCTTTTAATCAACCATCCTTCTAGTAGCTTACAAACATTGCGCAACGGCGAATACCGACTCCTGAATGGCACTTGACGGTCTGGAAGCAAAGTTTGAAGAGTGCACATTGAAGGAGTCCGACGAAGCCTGCGATAGCGCAAATATCACATCACCTTATGGCGAGCGTCTTCTCCAGCCTGATCATATCCGACTCCTTACCATCGTTCTCGACACGGATACTTTGCGGCTGACCGTCACTCCACACAAGTTTCAAGATGATCTCGAATACGATGCAGTCTCATATGTCTGGGGGGCAGCAGAAGCTTCTATCAGCGTCCCATGCAACGGAAAGAACCTTACAGTTACTCCTACTGTTTTCGAGATGCTCCATCATCTAACCCCGAACTACCCGTATTGGCTGGACTCTATATGCATCAAACAGCAAGACTCCGAAGAGAAGGCGGTACAGATCCCATTGATGCATCGAATCTACTCGCTCGCTTCGATCGTTGTCATATGGATGGGCCTTCCCACGGCGCAGAGTGAGCAGTTCATGCTTGGGTTTTCCATCGCATTGCAAATGGAAAGGGAGTGGAATTCAATGCTCGATCAGGGTCTTCAACCCTGGGTTCAGAAACCGGATTTATTCCGCGAAGATGACCCTTTCTGGCTTGGTATGATACAAATTTGCAAGCACGAGTGGTTTGAACGTCTATGGACCTTCCAAGAGGCAGTTCTTGCAAGACAGCCTATCATGCTGTTAGGACCTCTTTGGTTGAAATTTGAAGAGTTTCTTGAATTCATCTGTGAAGGGTTGTCTAGAAAGACCGGGGCATATATTTACCAATGGCGGCGGCTTCTCGAAATTTTTGAGGGCTTTGGGAGATTTATGAACCAGCTCCTGACCTTGAAAAGATGTTGCAGGGATGTTTTGTCAAACGGAGTGGTACCGATCGACATTATACCCTATCTTCTCGATTCGCTCCGCAACCGACATGTAAAGGAGCCGGTGGATCGAGCCTGGGCAGTCACCGGATTGTTGAACCATGGTCTCAGATCGAAATTGGAGCCAGAAGTGGATTACAGCGATAACGCTCGGGTTGGTTTCTGGGAAACACACATACGGTTCGCGAAGACGATCATGGCCGCAGAGCAAACGCTGTGTCTACTAAGAATACCGCCCACAGTTGAGGGAAGGCCGCAATCATCTCCGTCTTGGTGCCCAGCTTTGGATGGTGTTCCAGCGTGTGGTCTCTTGATGTCAGGAGCGTGGGCCAATCGTGTAAGCGGACAGCAATATGAACAACTTCTACAGGAGGTTATAGAAGAAGGGATTCAAGCGCAGCAATCTAGTGAACCGAGACAGCTGGAGATCCCATTAGTATCTCGCAAATTCATCTCGTTTGGGAAGGAGACTAATTACCTGCACACTTGCGGCCATATTTTGGATACAATATCAGAGGTCGTGGATAATCAAGAGCCGCGGGGGTGTTACGAACACGTATTGAGCGCAAATATGTTAGCGCGCAAAATGAGCAATCCTGTACATGCAGCACATGTGGATGTCTGTACCCGTAGCCTCCAACTGGCTCGTCGAACGGCTCACCGCGCAGAAGACGATACCGACAGTGTACCTTCGGAGTATCTGATGGCTCTACTGATGGATATGAGAGTCTCTAGAGAAGCAGCGATTGCTTACAAGGACGGATGGAATACATTCAGAGATGGAGATTTCGGTTTTTTGGGAGAACTTCCAGCTGAGCGGCAATTGCGGGCGAGTCTCTGGGCAAATAGATTGCATGGTGTGGCTGGTCATTCTTTCTTCAGTACTACCGGGGGCCGCTTCGGTATCACCACGCCAGGATGCAAACCCGGCGACAAAGTCTGTGTCTTCTACGGCGAAGATCCTCTTCATATACTACGATGGCCAGAACCCGAGCACGAAACCGGCGCGCTCCAAGGAGAAGGTCCTGCTGAGTTCTGCGGCGTCACATTTATTCCACACCTTATGAAGTCGCAGGAGCAAGAAGCAGCTCGACTTGGACCGGACGAGATATTTGTTATTGGGTAACATGCTTTCGTGGAAGCAACAAAGGATTTGGATGGAGCATGACCGTGCGCGGAAGCTTCGTGCGTGGATTGCGATCACGTTCTGAGGCAATCTTTCACTATCTATCCAGTTCAGCTGTTGCCTTATCCCAAATCGTATCAATCCACTTATCCCGTTCGCAAATAGCTCTTCGATAAACCATGAGCATCCATTCAGAATATTCAAATACATCTGACTACTACACAACGCGAAAACGGTCAATTCAAAAGTACTACTTATCCTTATTGTTCGAAAAATGGCCCTGACCTCCCCCTATACGGCCTACCAAGGCGTCGGCGTACCCATAACCTTCGTTGTCGGTCCCAAGGCCAATCCAACGCGATTCGACATACACCACTCGCTCCTCTCAAAAGTCTCCCCTCTATTCACTATGCCCAACGGCCTGCCCCGCATCATACTAAGCGACATCTTGCTCCCAAACGCCGAATCTGATACCTTCCGAACCCTCTTCAAGTGGCTATACGAGCGCCAACCCCCTGACTACACAACCGACGGGAAATTGTTAGACCTGATGAAACTATGGGTAGGATATGTTCATGTACGAACGGTGTATGAGACGTTCACTGACTTGTTACACCCGTCTCAGATATTGGCCGGCGAACTCGGAATCTGGAGGACTCAAAACACGGTGCTGAGATTGGGTATGGCGCTGATGCAACCGAAGTACTTCATTTGTCGTCTAGGCACGGTCAGATGGGTGTATGAGAATACACCTGCTGGATCACCGCTGCGTAACTACATCACCGCGATTTTCTGCCAACGCCGTCCACCCATCACGCCCTCCATGTTCTCGCCCGAGAACGAGCAGCTTGGTATCTTTCGCGACGCAGTAGGGTTCTTGCGTACACTGAATTTAGTTCGCGCAGGCAATCCGACGGGAACGGGCGGATACAACCTCCATGCGCTGTTCCCTATTCATCATTCGTGGTCGCCGGGCGAAGGCGAGCTCGCGCCAGTGCGGGTTCGTGGATGTTTGGTAACGGGAGGAGAGGAAGTAGAGTGGATCAAGATCGAATATCCGCTCCCTTCTTTCCTAGTGTGGGGCGCGAAGTGGGAGGTGTTGCCGGACATGCACTTTGTGAGCCAAGACGGCATTCGAGCGGCGGCACAAGATTTGTTGAAGCAGATTGAGTTTCCGGATAGATCGGGCGCACAGAATATCTAGTGGCGCAGTGCTGCAGAGAAGTACCTAGACCTACAAACTATGGACAATGTCTCATGCATTCATGCCTGGTCTTTGGTCAGTAGACCATGCATTATAGAGTTTTGGGGTTAGAGTAGCACATCGGCGTCTTCTTGACCTTCATACACTTCACTCTCTCAAACAAGTCACGGGGATACAAGTTATCAAGCAAACATACCAAGCGACTAGGATATGAAGCAGATGTCTATTGTAGTGTACCAGCTCCCTTTCCCACCGCGAAATAGAGACTGATCATATAACAGATACCATCGAGATATGCGTATATACCAGCATTTTTGTGTTAAACAGAGAAAGAAACGCGTAACGTTTGAGTGATGATGAAGTAAAGCACGTGGCCACAGGAGTCATGAGCAGCGCTTGCTATGAAATCAGGGGAAGGGTATTGCCAACAGCCAAGGGAATATGTATACAAACGCCAGTACCCCTTTAAACCCAGTTTTGTGGTGATACAATAGATATAGAATAAGAATGGATGATCATGAGGACTGTTGTAGCGATGCAATACCTAACGTGCAGGGTGCTGCCTTCGTTGGTGTCGCAGGAGGTTGTCCCTGCGAGAAAAGCCGTCAAGGTTACCACAGCCGGGATGTGGGCAGAGGTATTTGTTCGTTGCCAAAGAAGAGTCGTTATGCTGTGGTAGATGCCTCCGCAAATCTTTCGGATAGTCGAAGCTCATGGGACATTTTGAGCACACGTGAGGCTTATCGGTCGAATGTTTCTTCTGATGGCGACTATGACGGTAAGCCGACGATCGAGTACGCTTGATCCAGGTAGGACTTACTTCAAATCACACTGACGGTTGAAAGTTTTACTGCAGCCGTCCTCGTCGCAATGGAAACCACCCGGGCGAGGTGGTTGCCGCTTAGTGCTTCCCTTCCGATTGCGTCGTGTCGCCAAGCGATCGCCAGGGTTATAGGTATCCTCAACATGCGCTTGCACGGTGGCTGGCTGTACCGTCGTCTCGTTCGCATCCATGACACGTACGTGCTCTCGGAGCAACGACTGTCCTCCGTTGACAAAGTCGTAGATTGGTGCTAGGTCTGGTTGCGTCCGATCGAAGCCGAGCGGCGGCATGTGCAAGACACTGGGGTCGACGTAGAAAGGGTTCGCTGCGTCATATTGGATTTGTGACTGGTAACGTTAGCATATTCCATAGAGAAGGGACTCAGGATCCTACCATGTGCTCGTGAAAGCATTGGTACAAGGGCAGGCAGCAAAGCTGGCACAGCACGCCGTCGATGTCGGAATAGGTTCCGTCCATGGGGGTGTCAGACACGATGAGGTCTGCAAACGGGTTTGACGCTTCCACCGGACCGGAGAGGACAGTAATAATTACTGTGAAAAGCAGCAGCGGGTACATGCTCCGGTGTGTATCTGGATGCCTAAGGACAGGAAGATGTGGGACCGACGAGAACGACGGAACTAGAGTGTGAGAACGTCAACAGTATGCAAGATCAGACTGTAACAAGGTTGGTACACTATGGTGAAGAGTAGCAATGCAAGTGAAAAAAAAAGTAGAGAAGAGGGCGTAAGGTCAATCGCAGCCGATGCATGCTAAGGGCAGAGGACTGGGGAGGGAGGCCGGCTGCCTGAGGAGCCACAGGTCACGGGCAGGTGTGGCTATGTTGATGATGTAGGTGTCGAGCAGCATTCTGGCGGTTTCGCTGCGTCTTTGGCGGCGATTTGGTCAGGTTGTTGGGTTAGCAGCGATGAAAGTGCACTCTTGATGCGATGCGACGTGCAAATGTGGTTGTGACGAAGGGACGAGCGACGGCGCCGTGCAGCGATCAATCCGACGGGGTACCTGCGCCATACCAATTTGAGACTTGGTGAGGGGTTGTGCCCGGCTCAACTCCCTACACTCGTGACTTTGGTACTGTGCAAGTTATCGAAACGTTGTCGACCGCGGGATGTGTGACTATCTGTCGATTTATCGAGAGTTTAACGCTGTGAATCAATAGGAACAGACGCCTGAAGCTAAGGTTTACCGCAGACCTTCCGTCGAGTTCCGTCACGTGCAAGTGCGTCATCGCGAAGGAACGCGCGAAACTCACAGCTCTTGCCCCATGTTCACCCGCATCTTCCACCTCCTTTCCCGCATCGTTTCGTTTCTTCTAGCTCGGCAAGTGCTAGTATCTTCTTGTTGGTCTTGTCGCTTAATGGCTCTCGTAGAGGCAGGCGGCAACCAAGTGCGCCCTCGTAAATATGAAAGACGTTGAACATCATCACAAAATGTGATAACATCTCAAGAAGGTTCAGATGGATACCCTGAGGCTGAGGATGCGCACTCGATATATAACGGCGCGACACCTCCCAAGTCAGCCCTCAGCACAACACGCCACACGTCGTCAACGCAACAAGGCAACCACTGCAGCTCGTGTTGGTACTATTCATATCGCAGGTTGATGAGTCTCATCTGGCGTTTATCCCTTTTGGAAACTGGCAGCGGATACTGCATGCTTCGCGCACATCTCATGTCCAATCGTTCGTTGAGGCGTTCCACGATGTTCAAGGCGGCCAGGCAGCAGTCGAGACAATATCCGTAAGCAAGGCTCGTCCAAAGAGCATCCTATTGTAACTCGGTGCTACCATGCCCGCCTGCTGCGCCTTTTATATGACTCACAGCCTATCATGCACTTGACCACTTTGGTAGGTACCTTGTTGAGTAGCTCACAAGTAAAGCTGGCATGCATGCGACAGCTGCCCCGCATTGCGAATCAGAGCTTCAGATGCGCCATTGCTTCATGAACCGACGCCTCTCGCGATCAGGCGCATAGACACCTGAGACTCACCCTTACAAGAATATGCTTTCTATACGTGGCCGCAAATATGCGGCTTTAGATCTGGCTGCAAGCTACACGAAAGATCGTGGCCTCCCCTACGACAAAACCAAGCATCCAGCAGGTCTAGTGTCCTTTAGAAATGCGGAAAACGTAAGCAAGAGTCGAACATCATGGTTGTCATACTTTGAGTATTAGAGCTAATGTACCGAATAGTTTCTCATGCGCGAAAAAGTGCTTGACTACGTAAAGACCAAGGTTGGTCTTTGCACTTGAACAAGAGGGACTCACTTAACATATTGTGTAGTGCGTTCCTTCATTTGAACTCGACACCTTGACCTATCATGACGGCCCGTTCGGCTCTAAACGCTTACGACAAGCAATGGCTACTTTCATCAATAAGCGCTTCTTGCCCGCATCCGTTGTGGCGATGGATGAAGTGTCCTTTGTCAGCGGTGTGACGGCATTGAATGACATCTTGTCACTATGTCTGACCGATGGAGAGAATGAAGGTTTGCTCCTTGGCATGCCGATATATGGCTCTTTCAACCCAGATATGCGAAGCATGTCGAAGTGAGTCTCGACGTGTCAATAAATGCGTTCAGCAGCCACTGAACTTAGGACAGCTGCAAATTGGTTTACACCCCATTCCATGGCGTGGATCAGTTCATTACCGGAGCGGTCGAATGTTATGAGCGCGCCCTTGAAGAAGCGGGGCGAAACGGAATTGACGTGAAGGCACTTGTCATTTCCAACCCGCACAATCCTCTTGGCGCGTACCATGCACCCTCGTAAAGGACCGTCGAACTGACTCATCTTTCCAGGGCAGTGCTATACTCACAAAGCTCTCGAGGCCATACTACGCTTCTGTGCAAAGCATAAGATACATCTCATCAGCGATGAAATCTATGCTCAGTCAGTGTATCGAACGGATGAGTCTCATCCAGGCTTTACATCAGTACTCTCTGTAAACATGACCGGCATCATTGATGATGAGCTTGTCCATGTAATGTACGGAATATCGAAGGTCATACCACTTTTGTGCGAGAAATGGTTGTTGTAACTGATGCGTTGATAGGACTTCGCCGCTGCTGGTCTGAGACTAGGATGTCTGGTCACCCGAAATGAAGAACTTGGTCAAGCTGTGCAATCTCTAGCGTACGTCTGCTTGAGCACCCATGTACAGCTAAGAAGGCTAATTCGTCTACTTGGCAGACGTTTCCACGGCGCATCGCCAGTGACAGACGCTATAGCCACTACCATACTTGAGGACGACGAATGGCACGACCAATTTCTAGCCGAGAGTGCAAGGGTGCTGAGTGAACACCAAGAGCGTGTCACCGAAGAACTTGACAAAGCTGGGATTCGCTATAACAAGCAAGCGTAAGTACATCCCAGCGTTTTCGAGTTGTTGCATCGGAGGAGGCACCACTGACAGAACCATGTGGCCTAGTAACGCTGGGTTTTTCCTCTGGATCGATCTCTCGGCGTGTTTACGGAGCGCGACGTGGCAGAGTGAGGATGAACTGAGACAGGCGCTGTATGATCACGGCGTAGAGATGTCGGCCGGCCACGCATATCATGATGAAAAGCCAGGCAATTTCCGCTTTCTTTTCTCAATGGATAGAGATACTTTGGAAGAAGGTCTGAGAAGAGTTATTGGCTTCCACGAGACTCGTAGGCTAGACCGGTCTTGATTGGGGCTAGCAAATAAGCAATTATGATGCACGGGATAAATTGGCTCGGGGCTGGAGTAGTAGAATGTCAATGCAGGGACTTTGGACAATGTGCCTGATGTGACGTGAGACGCTCGTGACCGCGCGAAAAGGCGCCACGCGACTGTGGGTCCTTGCACGAGATCGTCCCGCCAGATCGGAATTCCAACAGGGGAAAGTGCGTCATCATTCCAGCCATCTAGCCTCAACCTTCACAAACAAGTCGCACCACGCCTGTCCCTATGTCACGATCGCGTTAACGACAACCAGGCATCAGAATGCCGCCCATCCTCTCCCGAAAGCGCTCGCCATCCGCTTCACCGCAAACAGAACCGCCACCGAAGCGTGCGCGCGCTCGCAAAGCTACTGCACCCACTCGCAAAGGCAAGGAGTCCGTCTTCGAAACCCTCGAAGCACCGCCAAAGGCCAAGCTCACGCTGGCCGAGACCAAAGCCCTGTTGGAACAAGAAGATGACGACAGCGAGTTGTCAGAACCGGAGAGCAGCGAAGATGATTTCGAAGATGTTCCGCTGAACGGCGCAAACAAGGGTCAAGGCAAGGGAAGGACGACAACTGGTGGTGATAGCGACGAGAGCGAAGCCGACGATTGGGTAGACGCGCTTGGTGCGCAGAATAACAATAAACCAGACCATGGTCCTGCGCCCGTCATCACTGGCGACATCGCCCTCACCCTGTCCGCCGCGCCAAAGACCGCCTTCGACTCGAAATCGGAAGGACAAAAGGGCGCATCCAAGATCCAGCGGCAAATACGAAATGTCACACATTGTATGCACGTACAGTGCCTGATGTACCACAATCTCATAAGAAACGCTTGGATACAAGACAAGGAAGTGCAGAAGATACTAGTGGAAGGCATGTCGGCCGGCTGCTGGCGCGAACTGGAGAGATACTGGGATAACGCCGGAATCACAGACGGCCCTAGCCTTGTCGTTGTGCAGAGGGCGCCGAGTCCTCCACCCAAGCAGGTGACGAAAGACAAGAAGGGTACATGGAAGAACAGCGGAAATAACGGCGTCAAAGTATACGAAAGCCCGCAGAAGCGATCATCTGCTCGCGAAGACAAGAAGAAAGCTCCCGTAGGCAAGGACAAGGGCAAGGGCGACGTCAAAGGCGCCAAGAAAGGTCGCGATTGGAACGCGACATCTGAACCACTCGAGCCGAAAGCCCCAAACATGTCAGCTGGGGACCCTCTGCTTCGCCTCCTCAAGTATCTCTGTGCGTATTGGAAGTCCAAGTTCCAAGTCACAACTCCGAGCCTACGCAAACGCGGCTACCTCTCGCCATCGACGCTAGAAGCCGAGATCAATACCTGGAGGGAGGACCCCGATCATCCCGATACTTTTGGCGAGCGAGTGGAGAACTTAGAAGCATTTCGCGACAGAGCTCGTAAATGTGAGGGGAGCAGGGACTTGGGAGAGCAACTGTTCACCGCTTTAGTACGAGGGCTCGGCATAGAGGCCCGCATGGTAGTCAGTCTACAGCCAATTGGTTATGGCTGGAATCAGGGCGAAGAAGGAACGCCTAAGAATCTGGAGAAATTGAAGGATGCGAAGCTTGCCGACAGCAACACTCCTTCGAAATCAGCAGCCACGAACGGTAGAGCGAAACCTCTCGGCGGTACAAACAAGGGTGGCAAAACGGCCGAAGTTGACCCGGACGATAGCAGCGACCTGAGCAGTGTCATATCTATTTCTTCGGGATCAGAAGATGAGCGGCCTACTAAGAAAGCGCGAAAGCCCCGCAAC